CTACCCTGTGCCAGAATATCTAGACAATGTGCCAACAAATTCTGGGATTCCCTACGGAATGTCCTTCCCCCCGGAAAAGCCCGTGTCCTCATGGCTGGAGAACAAACCTGTTGTAGCAACTCTGCCAGCCACTATGGGTCTTCCGCTTCCCTCCGCTATTACCTGTATCGGAGGCTCGAATGACCCCGTAAGTGTAATACCATCTGTTAAATCTCCCTTCCAGACAGCTCTTGGTGAATGTGTATCTTTGTCACCTAACCACAGAGGCAGTGAAGCTCATTTCTCTCCTGTTTCAGAGTTGAAGCGTGAGACAGAAGTGTCCAATATACTAAAAACAGAAGGGATACACCTGCCCCAGAACTGCTCCCTGATATTGAGAGGCAACCCTATAACAGAAGCACCCAGCACTACGATCCCATCTGTGGCCACCACGCCTGAACCCATCACCTCAGCATCCCCCCTCTCCGAGTCCCCACCTCTATCGTACAACTCGGACGAAATGAAATACCCAAGCGGGGGTTTCCTGGACTCTATGCACACGTCTGAAACCTCAAAGCTTCAGCAGCTGGTGGAGAACATCGACAAGAAGATAACAGACCCCAACCAGTGTGTCCTCTGTCACCGCGTCCTCAGCTGTCAGAGTGCGCTCAAGATGCACTACCGCATCCACACCGGGGAGAGGCCCTTCAAATGTAAAGTTTGTGGCAGGGCTTTCACCACCAAAGGCAACCTGAAGACTCACATTGGCGTTCACAGAGAAAACCCTCCCGTCCAGGTGCAACACTCGTGTCCCATCTGCCAGAAGAAGTTCACCAACGCTGTTGTCCTTCAGCAGCACATCCGCATGCACATGGTCGGACAGATTCCAGACTCCACGCTCATGGAGGGGCTGCAGGAGATGGATATGTCCTTCAACGAGAGGAATTTTGATAGTCTCAGCAGCAATGACAATGACCTCCTTGATTATATGTCAATGGAGGATGATAATGAGGAAGAAGACGAGGAAGTAGAGAGTATGGAAGAAGTTGTAAATCCATCGAAACCCTTGATCTATGACTGTTATTCACCGCCTAAGTCCAACATTGTTTCAAGTTTAGCCGCTCTGGAGAACCAAATGAGGATGATTGACTCTACTTTAAGCCTAAACCACTCCTTTGGTATACAATCTCTAACAAATGGTTTTAATGACATTAGCCAACTTAATTTTAAAAGGTCTTTGGCAGAGAAAGGCGTGGAGAACTGCAGACTTATCAGCCCAAATGTTTCAGAATCTTCCTGTTCGCCTCGTGTATCGGGATCTCCGATTCAAAGCAACTCAGAAGGCATGACGATCAAATCACCTGCAGTGAACAACAACAGGCCAGAATCCCACGAGTCTTTGGCAGCCTCAGTAAAGAGAGAGCAACCTGATTCTCCTACCTCGGCATCAGCGGCTGCAGTGGTCCAAGAACTGCGAGGAATACCGGCCATCAAGCTGTGTGTGAAAGAGGAGACTCCTTATAGTATGTCCTTCCAACTGAGCCGAGAAAGAGGTAATCTTGCAATGTTGAAATTCAAATGTTCATAGCCTACTAAAGATAAATATGTGTTTTTCTTATGAACATGATTCAATGATTGATCCCCTTTGCACTTTGATTTCAGCTGCAGGTCAAAGTATTCCCACCCTGGTTACCAGCACATCGTCTGGGCTGATAAAAACCGAGATGAATGGTCATAGTCAGCCGAACAATTTGTCTGAAAGGCAGCTCCCACCGTTTAGCGTCCACATCCCCCCAGCTTACGCTTCAATCGGCAGCCCAGGAATGACCTCCCTGCTCGGCCCCGCTCCTCCCCGTCGAACTCCGAAGCAGCACAACTGCAACGCCTGTGGGAAGAACTTCTCTTCTGCCAGCGCCCTGCAGATCCACGAGCGCACACACACCGGAGAGAAACCCTTTGTCTGCTCCATCTGCGGCAGAGCCTTCACCACGAAAGGCAATCTGAAGGTAGATAAAGGAGGTTTTTCTCTGTTGTGCTGTCAAGCTGATAGCTCTGTTGGTATATTTAGAGGTAATTATCTGCCTTTTGTGAAATATAAGATGAATGGTTCTCAACAACAACAGAAAAAAAACAAGTGACTGGTCAATCAATTTTAAAAATTACATTTTTGTAATTACACAGCAAGTGGGTATTTTGTTGTATGTAAGGCAGCATACATGGCAACAACATAACCTCCCTGTTATTTTATAGAAACTAATCATTGACTCATGTGTGTTCAAAACAAAAAGAAAAAGTAAGCCAGTTTGTCAATTTAAATCACTGTTCAATTACGGTTTAACTCCCTGTTCGAACACAGATCATTCCCCCTTTTATAAAAGAGCACACATTCTTATTTAATTACAACATATTTATTGTATGTATGTAGGCATATGCATGCATTTCAACTAATGTAAGAAAAAGACAACAGCATTTTCTTAAATTCAAAATAAAAAAGCCACATGAAATTCTTTAGGAATTATGAATGCCCTGATTATAATTAGGTGCAACATGTCTCTTATGATATTGTTTCAAGGTATATTTTCCCCCATAAGCCAAAATGCATGTTTATAACAATTTGAGTCTAGTCACTTTCGAAAGAAAAATCAGTAAAGGGCTGGCATTTAGGTTGCAGATACATTTCTCCATGAATTAGTAATATATTGTTGTCATAAAATGTCCCAACATTTTAAATATGCATTACAAATGTTTTGTTAAGTCTAAGGTCAAAACCTAAAATAATTTCTCCAAAGAATAGCATAAAATCTTAACATTCAAGAAGTTTGTACCAGCAAAAATACCTAGCGATTTTTTAATGAACTATTACTTTCTTGCTGATCAATTTTCTGTTGGGTGACTAAGCATGAATCAACTTTCAAAAACCCACTCTAGTGGAACTACAATTCCGTCAGATTTGGTAAACACAGATTCAATCAATTAAAACAGATATCTGAAACCTTTTCACATTTTATTTAACAAAGGCTATTGTATATAGAATGAGTATTATAGTGTAATAGATAATAAAGCTGCAGCTATTAAGGTGTAGGGGGCTGGATATTTACTGCGACAACCCATGGGTAACATGTTTTTGTTGAGAAATAAAAGCATACATCAAATCTAATTTCCTGTCATTTTCAGGTTCATATGGGAACTCACATGTGGAACAACGCACCAGCCAGGAGAGGCCGGCGTCTGTCGGTAGAAAATCCCATGGCCCTGCTGAGCGGAGAGGCCGCAAAGTTTGGAGAGATGTTTCAGAAAGACCTGGCAGCTCGAGCCATGAACGTAGATCCTGGATTTTGGAACCGATACGCTACAGCGATCGCCAACAGCCTGGCCACGAAGAACAACGAGATCTCAGTGATTCAGAACAGAGGCATCTCTCAGCTGCACCCTCTGACTGCAGGCATGGACAGAGTGAGCGCCGCAGGAAGTCCAATAAACAGTCTAACCAAGACAGGCATGGACCTGGGGAATAATAGGCATTTTTCTATGCTGATTGATGACAGCAAAGAAATTGGAATCAATTGAAAAAACAATGAATGGAGACTTAATACTTATGCAATCTATTGTGAACATTAAAATATTTGTAAAAGCTCTTGTTTGTTCGTATGTATTATATATAGACTTAAAAAAGAACTTTTTATCAATTGACAAAGAATAGTTGGGTATTCACATTTTGCTATTTTACTTTGCCGTCATTTGTGAATGTTTGTTTTGGTTCCAATACAATAAAAAGTTGTTTATCTTGCACCTGAGAACTCCTAGGGTGCTGAATAAGGGGAACATACTGTATGTTCAAATCAATAATGCAAAGAGTCTGTTATCTCCTCCGGACAGCTGCCCAATGCTGCTAGCTGGTGCAAAGCACAATACATGCTCATGAATACCCACAATTAAGAGTTGTCAATATTATGGTGAGAAATTGTTATTCTTAAACAACAGTTGGACCCAAATAAAAACTAGAACAAACAGTCTGTATGTTCAATTCACTGCCTCACTCTGGTAAACACTTTCCTAATGTTATTTTACACATTAGAATAATACATGCTTACTTTTTGTAGTAAAAACTTAAACTAAGATCTTTCATTTTATTTGATTACTTTTTCTTCATGCATTATGTAAGCGATAAGTATTTATTTCCCACAAACAAACAGGATCAAGCAGACATAACTTATAAAACAAAATCTATTTGTTTAAATGTGGTTTCTGCATCTTGTTAATCTTTTCTGTTCTGTTTTGCAGACCTACAACATCTGAACTCTTCTCAAGCTACACTCTATGAACAGAATAGATGATCATAATTATACATAATAATAATAATAATAATAATAATAATAATCACAATTTAATAAGCTAATTTATTTATTTAAGTTTTGAACAAATGTTGTGTTTTTCCTTTTCCTCTTGTCTCCAGACGTATGATATAAACATTGTCTACTTAATAATTTATCTTTACATTTAAATGTGTTTTTTTTTTTTAGATGATCTAGAATATCATCTGGGATTTAAGTGAAAAAATAAACCAAAAAGAACAAATTAGGTTTACTGTAACTAAAGGCCTATGCAAATAAACAGTCAAAAAGCAAATGTTCATTTATTATTCGCCTTTGCGGAGCCTTCAAACTCATGGTCTTCATCAGCTGGTTATCTGCTCATCATGGCTCTAAATTAGTTTTCAATGGGAAATAAAAGATGCATTCGGCGACTCTCGAAATTTGGAAACTCCGCATTGTTCCATTCAACTAGAACAACTTTTAGAAGAACACTTATTTGTTTATTTGAGTTATCAATGGTTAGTGTTATGTTGTGCTACGTCAATGGAATAACTGGAAACAATAAGGAAACCCTTTGTGTTTTGTAACCTAAAACGCACTTCTCCATTATATATCATTATGTACGATATGTCTGAATAGTATTTGAACGCAGCATAACTCCTAAACGTTTTTTTTTACGTGACGTCAGGATGTGTACTGCCCAGCCAAGATGGCTGACAGCATCCCGTTAAATCCGTTACGGAAGAACTCGAGGAGGATCCCGTATTACAACTCAGCCAGAATTTCAAGGTATGGAGGAGCCAGCTGACATATTTTCTTCTGTTGCTTACTTAAGACACAGCGGTTTATCCCAAATGTTTAAATGTGTTGTGCCTCGGTAGCTCCCTGGTGTATGTTTGTGTTCTGGTTGTAGCTGTTAGCTTGTGTGCTAGCTCTGCTTCTGACAGCTTCTCGCATTATCTTCTTTGACAGCTGCTTCGTGAGCTAACACCAGTTTCCTTAAAATTACAAACCCTTCTAATTTTAGTATACCTTTATTAGCCCAATACCACAAACTCTATAACCTCTTAGTTAGTGACATATATCCCTTTACCACTGCACTGCTTAGTACCCTGCTGGCATTTCATTTAAAGTCACATGATGGCTTCTGTGTGTTAAGTTCGTCACATGTTATAATAATGTGTTGCATACTGGAGTCATCATTCACCCGCTTGTTCATTTTTCAGAGAGGACAAGCCCTTAGATTCAGATATGGAAATGAAGGAAACTTGTCGCATTATCAGGTACTTTTAGACTAGATGGTATGTTTAGTAGTAGTAGTGTTTACATTGCATATGTTGATATGAGTAATGGTAGCCCATCACTAGTGTATGTAGCACCATTTGTTTTGATGTTTTCTCTTATCTCGCATTTAAAGAATGTCAGCCTTTCTGTATTCTCTTGCTCTCAGTAATTACATTCATGTGGCAGTTATTTGGGGAATTGGTGTGGCTTCTGCTGGATCAGAAACAGATACAGAGCAGCGGGTCCTGAAGCTGGTAAAGCCACATTATCTAAGCTTTTTTATTGTAACGGGAAGCAAATGTTCAAATCAAATCTAACTTTATTTATGAAGCACTTTTCAGACACAAAGGTAACTCTTAAAGTGCTTCACAAACCAAACACATAGACATTTAACAAAATATAAGAACAACACTATCTCCTCCTTCCCAGGTATAATCCGGTATAAGAATAATAAAAAGAACTAAAATAAGAATCTAATAATAATAATAATAATAATAAAAAGACACCTCACTATGGGTCTTTGTTTTAACTTTTGGTATGATTTAAAAGAGGCCAGAACCAGATGACCTGAGGGTAATATAGGTAGAACGCAAATCTGATAATATCTAGGACCAAGACCTTAAGAGCTTTAAAAACCAATAAGAGTATTTCAAAATTGTTTACTACAATGCATGTGCGTCACTGGAGAGTCATAAAACCTTTCCAAAACCACCCCACGCTTCCATTAGAGTTGGAGTTTTGCAATCAGATGTGGGACTTATAGATCATACAAACACTTTAGATGTTAGTGTTTCCTGTTGGAAGGTCCCAACAGTTTGTAAACAAAACAGTGATGAGAAGTTGGTGGTAGCCTCAAGCACTTAATGTGGCTGAGGTCAAAACCTCAGGAGATGATTTGCAGGTTTTCAACCATATCTAACCAACACTACCTAACGCTGCTTTTTCAGCATGTCATTTGCAGTTTTCTACAGTCCCTGGCTTTTGACAAAGGTCCCACTTGTTGCAACTAATATTAAGGCATTCAATAGATCCTTGCTTTTCTTTGAAGACTTTTCAGTTAACCTTTGACCAGAATTACAGTGTTTTCTTACTTTAAGGCATGTTATTGTCTTCTTGCTGCTAACTATTTCCGATTGCCATGGTATATACGTTATTTTTAATGTGTTGACAACAATAGTTCACACTCAACATCGAGTACTTCGTAGTTATTGACTAGTAATAATAATAATAATAATAATAGATTAATTTTGTTAGCGCTTTTACAGGTGCTCAAAGACGCTTTACAGATATAGTGAAAAGAAAAGAACAACAAATAAATATTTAGTTAAAGTTAAAGTCAAATAATACAAAAACAATCACACATTAAAAGCCAGATTGAAGAGGTGAGTTTTTGTGAGTTTTTTGAAGGTGGTGAGGTCGGTGCAGTCTCTGATGGGTTGTGGGAGTGAGTTCCAGAGGGAGGGGGCAGCAACGGAGAAGGCTCTGTCCCCCCAGGTCCGGTGCTTGATGCCGGTGGGGATTGATAGGCGGTTGGCTAGTACAAATAACAGTTAGGATGAAAGAGCCAAGTTTGCGGCGACGTGAGGTCCATTAGCTTAATTAAGGATTCAAAGCAAAAAAGCTATGATTCAGTTTATGAATTGCATTTCAAATATTTACATTTCAATAATTTAGCATTTGTGACATCCTGGCTTACACCGAACTCATCAAGCAATGAAGATATTGACTGTCCAGCTATGTTTCCAGCTGATCGATCTTTATGCATATGCATTTAAAGAAAGGAAAGAAAAAGGTAACAGATAAGGGGCTGGTCCATGCGGTTGTTTTGCAGTTGTCGTTACCGTTGAGTGGCCCGCTGTGTACTCGTGCGTGTTGTTGCTTGATTTTGGTTTCTCCCAGGGTGGGGGCCCCTATTAAGATTAGGTCGTGTTGAGCCCTAGCTCTTTTCTTTCCAGCGCCCAGCCGGAACGCTCCCGGCCTTCAAACCATTGCATCTGGACCCTGTTACCACTGCCTCCGCCTTTCAATTTTATAANTTTGTTTACATAATGTGTTTTGTAGGGAACAAGGCAGGGATTGGTGTACAGTAGATGGGCATTTCAGGCTACTTATATTCCATATAAGATTTTCTTTGGGCATTGTAACCATATGGGAAGGCCTACACCGACAAATTATTTGTTGTTTTTTATCCTTCAACCCTTTTTTCAAATAGCGTTTGAAGTGCGTAATTATAACAATTCCCAGAATTGTGCATTTGCATTAGGGCTGAACGATTAATCAATTTTAAATCGAAATCACGAATTTTAAATGATGCAATTATGTTTGTTTTTTGTTTTTAAGTTTGTTTTTTTGTTCTTCTTGTGTGTCAGTCATCCACACCAATCAGAAGTGCTGTGGTCCACATGTACCAGTCATTGTTAACCAATCAGAAGTGGCCCATGAGAGTAGGTGATAGACAGATTGATCCAATCACCTGCCAAGTATTTTTGAAATACTTTTCCAAATGGCTTCCAATGGAGCTTTCCTAGATGGTGTGGTGAAACTAACCGTCTGAGTCAGGTTAGTAATACTCCATCACATGTTCTACATCTATTACAGGGTGAATCTTAAACTGAAGCTTGACTTTAAAACAACCCAACGGAAGTTTCATGTAAGTTTAGTTCTTTCACTCGTAGCTCGGGCTGCGGGGGTGCTAGAGACGGGAGCACGTTGATGCGACCTTCCTAGCCGGAGATATGGCCGCATTTTACAATAAACTTCCGCTGGATCGCAAATCGAATCGCAATCGCAATATCTGTCAGAAGAATCGCAATTAGATTATTTCCCCAAATCGTGCAGCCCTAATTTGCATGCAGTTGAATAAAATGAAGAATGTAATTCAAATCTTAATTTAGCTTGAGTGCACTGATGTTTTGCAGTTTTGATATAAAACAGCAATAATACACTTAAGTCTCCAAAGTATGACTCTACAAAGCTGTTCTGTCAATAACACTGGGTGTTACATTATATACTCACTCATGATTCACTCATATCCACACCCTGTGTGCAGAACTTAGGGACGCATCTATCAGCAAATATTCAGCAACACCGGTTAACACCTTCACAGACACTCACACTCTCCTTTTGGAAGGCAAGAGGAAGGGGATATAATTGTACAGTAGCCCATGGTTTTATTACTATATGTTGAAGTAGGGTTTTAATTCAACAAGAAGTTATTTGTAATGAAAGCAAACAGGCATTGTAGAGAGAAGAAAGACTTGACAATACAACAATGGCCTTCATTGGTTCTGAAGGTCTCCTAATGTCATGTTGCAAGTGTTTATTTTAGTTTATAAAAAAAGTAGTTCAGCTTTAAAAGCAGTAGGCACAGTAGGCAGCTTCCTTATTATCCTATCAAAACCAGATTTGGGTTTTGCATTGTGACTTCCTGCAACTTGTCTAATTTCTGCACAAAACCCATTACATTTTTGTATATTCAATCAATATGGAGGCCTGCTGTCACATGTGGAGTGCCTCCAGTAAATGCGTGGTTGCAGAAATAATTGGTGATGTTTTTTCAGCAGGTAAACAATAGTTTAGGCTCAGCTACATGCCAGCAGAATGTGCAACGGCCTTGACTTTATATTAACCAAGAGAGTAACTCCTCTAATAGTAAACCGCATCTCCCCCCTTTGGTTCGCAATCCTCACTTCATCTAAAGGCCCTGACACACCAAACTGACACCAAAGAACACGTCCCGACGGAACACGACTGTTGTGTCGCCTCACGTCTCCTGCTTCTTGGCCAACAGTCGCACTGGAACACACCGCAAAGACTTTAGCCGACGGCCAAGTAGCACGTACGAACTGCGCATGCGTGAGTGGCAATAACTCTCCTTACCAGCAGGCGGCGGTAGTATGTATTCGTCATTTCAAAATGACGGCAACAACCGGAAGACAGAGAAGAAGAACCGACTCCGTGATAAACAACACAACAAAATAGCGTGTGGCGTCTCCATTTCACCTCGTCCATCGAAAACATGTCTCGTGCGGTACTGGAGCTATAGCCATTGCTAGTGTTGCTTGCGGAAGACATTTCTTTGTGCCTTCTTAAGCTTGTTTTTGTTTTTTTGATGTACTCCCTCACTCGTTTCCATTCTCATGCACTGATTCGCTAGCTGAACAGCCAATCAGAGTGATTTATTTTGTCCAACTGGCCCGGCCCGATGCCTCGGCCATGAAAGGCAAATAAGGCGTGTCACGGCAGGACTGTGCGGGACACACGCAAATTGAGTTTGGGGCGACAGGCACACTCGTCGTCCGCACTAACGAAAAACGGCGATTTCGGCCTGATGTGTCAGGCTTAAAGCAGACTATAGCCCTCTCATTTCTCAGTTTTCACCTCCTCAACTCCTCTCGCCTCGACTCCTCGCCTCGCCTCGCCTCGCGTCTTAGTCGCCGCNATTGATTAAACCAGTTCAATACACATTATTCTTATTATCATTCTTTATGAGTGCAGTAACGGTAAGGCATCTAATTACTTATTTATTTAGTATTTCATAACTTAATAACAGAGATCGGTCCAAACCTTAATGTTGAGACATGTCCAGAAATCCTAACAATGAAGCGGGACAGCTGAAGTGTTCTCCGTATGTAGAGAGAGGGCGATCAAGGAAAGAGAGCGAGCGGTGAGGGATTTATGGAAGCAGATGAAAAGACAAGAAAGACAGAAGGCACAATAACAAGTATATTTAGGTGTTTTTTTTGTAATTAACCGCGGTGGGTCAAGAGGAAGGTAAAGTCCCCCTGGTTTGTCCCCTATAGCTCTAACTGCCATGAGAAAACTCAAATTCAATAAAAGCTGCAGTATTTAAAACGGGAGGACAATTTCCGGGGACAGATTGACCCGAGGATTGGACCAAAGCCAGGAAGGCACATGATCACCATAGCCATATGAGGCCGGACAGGACCGGAGGGCTTTCCTTTGCTTTTCCAGCTGTCTAGTTTTGTAAACAAAGGTCACGTGCACTGGGGCAGATGAATGCGCTGACAAGGTAGCTTGTTATCGGCAGCGAGAACTTCTACAAACTAATTGTGGGCTTATCATGTTTATTCGGCCACAACAGTAAAAAAAGACTGTTCGTTCTCTCCAGATGCAGAGTCAGGCCAAAAAGTTCCAAAAGGGCCGCTGCCCCGGGCAACATTAGCCGTACCTGTGCAACGTCCCTGCTTAAAAGTAAACAGGGGAAACCAAACCAGACTGAGACCAGGTCCTGCCTGTTCTCTGCGCGGCACACACAACACACACACACACAACACACACACACACACCACACACACACACAAACACACACACACACACACACACACACACACACACACACACACACCACACACATCACACCACACACAACAACACACACACACACACCACACAACACACACACACACACAACACACACACACACCTGGTGACCACACACACACACACACACACACACACACACACCTACAGCCCCTACACATAATAAGTAGTGCTGTCCTGAGACAGCGAGTAATGTAATGTAATATAATATATGAGCCTCCTCGATGCTCGGTCCTCGATGTGCATTAAGAGAAATTAGATGTCCTTCAACGTGGCGCACTGACATCGATTTCCAGGTCACTGTCGGAGGACCGAGGAGGCAAAAATGTGAGAAATGAGAAATGTGTCTCGTTTAGCAGATTTTTCAATAGAGACCTGTAAACCTTTCCCTGTTAATTACTTAAATATGAACCAAATGCTAAACATTATATAGATGCATTTTTACATGCTGAGTTTCCTGCAGTTTGAACTCTTCCACAAGTTTGAATATGTTTTGCATCTTCTCTTGATTGTATATTGTTTGTTACAGAGAAATGCATACATTGTATTTGTTTGTTGATACGCACTAGCTAAGGTTTACGGTGACTAAGCCAGGACTGTAAGCCTATGTTGCATTTCTGTTAAGCTACAGGCTGCCTTGATTCTACAGTATACCTCATGAATAAGTCATTCTGTGCTTCTCCAGAGTGTATCCAGTGTGTCTTTATAATGTGAATAGGAGACACACTCAGCAGTACTTAGTGATGGAGGAACTGATGCACTGCGCGAAATATCTTTTAATCTTGGCTTTTCTTCAGACTTTTGCTTGAATCTGCACATCTGGAACTCTGTCAACTGACTACAGAATGTCCTTAGTTGCCCAACAGCTTGTAGATTGTGTATAATTCAGCAACCAGTTGGATTCAAAGCGTAATGATATGGACACGTTTCAAATGTCGGGTTTATTATCATCAGTGTAACTTAATGTAAATAGAATATCATCATTATTGAATACAAATCTTTATATTTTTTACATAACAGTATCAGGGCTTTAAAGAATAAACAATGTACAAGAAGACAATCACATTGATGCCAGGTCAAGCCGCCCCACCCTCCACCCTTCCATACCACCCCCTCCATGCCCAATAACCAACACACATCCCTCAATGCCCACTAACTCATCCACCCCACCTTGTCAGACCACCAAGTTCTTCAGAATATGTAACTATTTAAAAAAAGAAACGGACATTGTGTGTCAATTTAGTTGTGATAGCAGGCTTTACATTATTTTTTTTAGAGAAACAAACCCCTAAAGTTCATATTTTGAGATCTAAAGTCCAAGGCTGGAACATTGTTTGCATTTACACCTTAACACAAAATATGATCATTCTTCATTTCTAATAGTATGTCCTTGTCAGCACAATCCATTGAAGTTCCATGGCAAGTTCTTGTTCTAACTAATTGACTGTCCCCTGTCCTGGCAGATACTCCCTGGAAGATGAGCCCTCTAACCTGGACGAGATGCCTCTGATGATGTCGGAGGAAGGCTTTGAGAATGACGAGAGCGACTACCAGACCCTGCCCCGGGCCCGAGTCAGCCACAGACAGAGGGGCCTTGGCTGGTTCTTGCTGGGGGGGTGGAAGGTCCTCTGTGGCAGGTATTTCTTCACCTTTTGCATTATTATTCTTTAAATGGTTTTATTTGAACATGATGATGCACGGATCTCATGGAGCTCAACGTTCTTCCCTTGCTCAAGTTTACTCTAACTCCTCCATTGGAGAAACGTTTTTGAACAAATATCAAAACTATAATGTAATCCAGAAAGTCTATACTTTGTGCCTCTGCAACATGTATTTACCTCCTACTATCTTTTTCCTGTGTGGAAACTTTAATATTATTCTTACTCTTTTTACACTAACTGCAGATTTATATATTGCAGCATTTTTACCACATGTCTCTGAACAAATGCCCACAGGGTATTCACATTTTATTCTAAAATGAGGTTAATCATTGTCCAGGTCGTATGGTCAGGTGCTTTCCAATCAAACTGACAGGAAAATGACATGTTAAAGCAGCAACAGGAATAAGATCGCACAGGACAGAACAGTACAAAAAAAGGATAATAAGCATAAAGAATATAAGTAACAGCATATAATAAAATCACAAAAATAGAGTAAGCTGAAACTGTTGACGTATATTTAAGCAATAGCTCACGACAGGCCGTGGTATATGCTCATTATATCACAGCTAAGGGGCGTGGTTCGGCCCGACGCGAAGTGGAGGGTCGACAACCCCCTTAGCCCAAACGGTATAAACGGTTGTTTCAGCCCAACGGTATACTGTTTTTCTCAGACGCGGAGGGATACTGACTTGTTGTGAAAAGTAACTTACAATTCTACCCGTGGTATACGCTCAGTATATCACGGCTAAGAACCAATCAGATTGCTTGATTTGACTTGTCCGTTTTATAAACAGATTTGAATAGTAGAATTTTTATTTTATTTTTATATATATATATAAATACATATATGTTTATTGCTTTCAAACCTAAACAAATTCCTGTTCTGCAATACATTCTCACATCAGGAGTTATTGCCCTTCCATTTGGACCTTTTCCCCGCTCTGAAAGTGGTGGTTCTGTTTTGTCACTCTGTAAATGTAGTGTATAATGTTAGCGAGTACGCTGGTGGCGATCAGTTTGGATTTCGAACGCACCGGTAGCTGTGCATGAAGTGCAAAGAGAGGATAAGGGCATGTTTTTTGGTCGAGTTCCTCGATGCGCACCATCAGTCCAAAAAAGATTTTCAGGTCAGACACAGCGCTGCGGTTGATCCAGCTAATGATTCATTTGAGAGGTTTTGCCCTCTAAAGATGCTCCTTTTTTTTTAGAAGTGTTTGTTCGTGCAATAAAGTGTAACATTCATACACAAATGTTTGTTCAGTGCCCATAAAGAAGCGTTTACTAATGAAGGACTTCCATGGAACATTCTCTGTGTTGATAGCAATGCATCTCCAGTTGCATATTGATCCTCCCCCCCCTCCCCATCCCCACCACTAATGAACAAATCGGATTTTTCACAGCTGACCAGTTTGATGCTTTCCAGTAATTTTATGTGTGCTTAGTGTGGGATTATAAAACTCAAATAATTCACGCCGAATAAGCCCTGACTGTTCAAATAGCATATCGTTTGAATAGCATTCATTTGCTCAAATAATGGCTCTTATGAAACCGGACCGGGGGTGCACAGAGACAGAGAGCAGCGACGCCAATACAAACAGGACTTTTCACCAAAGTTGATTTATTTAGTTTCATGTTTTGCCAACTTGCTTAAAAAGTGGAAAAGCCAAGTCGATCAGCATGACGGTATACACACACACCCTCTCATCTTTCCCCCCCAGGTGCCAGCGCTCTCATTGTAATTTACCCCTGCACTACACCTCTGTTTGCGTTTGATATCAGATATGCTAGATAAGCTCCAATGTAGTCATTAGCAGGTTGATAGAAAGTCAAATACTTTAAAAAAAGTAAATGTCACAATCCATCAATCTAATCCCCTCTCAGAACTTTGATAATATCACAATACTAACTGTACATGTGGCTGGTTATTGAATGTTAGTAAGAGTCAACATGAGGTCAAACTAACTCAAAACAAGTGTTTATCACGTTCACATAAACACTGATAAACACTTGTCTGCACACAAACATTATGTTTGGTTCTTAAGATTCCTCTGATTTTCAACTCTAAAAGTGCCTGACTCCCAATTCCTCCTAGGAATATCTTAACATTTCAGATCATTTAAAGGTGGGGTATGTCATTTATTTCAGAAACACTTGTTATATTCCATGGAATTCTCTTAACATCCCAATAGCAATGACTAATTAAATGCTTTGATAATAAAAAAATAAAAAAATGTCATCTGTGGAAGCCGTAGTACTGTAAAAAGCACGACCAATCATCTGAGCCGGTCCGGCTAAAGTAACTGGATGGCCTACCTGCCTGTCAGCCTTCCATCTGTGCACAAACTTATCTCGTGCCCTCATTGGTCATGTGCGCGTTCGTGTATGTTGGAGGATGGGCTCTGTAAGGAAGTGGCAGATTTTTTCCGATTGTGTATTTTCAAATTCTAGCGCACTCGAGCTGGTTTCTCCAAAATTACCTACCCCACCTTTAAATGATGTTGGCAAAGGGTTTGTTTATGAAATTGTGTCAAAAGAAGTCTTAAAGATCTGATTCATGCAACATCTTCAAATCCTCCCTGTTGAAAAGTTTGCTGAAAACATATTTTTGTGTGACCGTTAATCTTTTTGTAAAAGTTTGAAGTGAACTTCTCTTTTATAAAAAAAAAAAAAGAAGAAAATAAGTCTTGTCATTTGTCTGTGAAAGTGGTTAAAAATGAAGGTATCAACTTACCTTTTCTATATATTCTTTTAGTCTTATCGAAAAAAATGTACAGCTATGAAAAATGAAGAGACCACTGCAGCATTATCAGTTCCTCTGGTTTGACTATTTCTAGGTATGTGTTTGAGAAAAATGCATTTTTATTTTATTTTATTCTATAAACTACTTCCAACATTTCTCTGTGTTGGAATTGAACAGACTCTGGAATGAAAGGGCTGCCATACATGTAGAGATTTAGGATCAATTTGGAGTGGTCACTTAATTCTTTCCAGAGCTGTATATAAATCGGCCACAAACTAAGCGTTTATAATTTAGTTGAATCAGTAAATTAAGCAATACATTGATTGGTATAAAATTCAGAATTGTCAGAATCTGCTGCTTTACTTTATGTCATGTGTTTGTTTATGACATCTCTTCCAGTTGATCATACGAAATATGTCACCACAGACATGCATAACAATTCCTGGACTGTTTATAGACCTGAAAATAATCAGGAGATGAATTGCTAATGTTAGTGTTGCTATTGCTGTTGACTGTTAGTTGCAGCCCATTGAGCAGCATGTATCTGGTGTGATGTTTACTCTGGATGACATATGTCTCTTTGTTTCTCTCAGCTGTTGCGACTGCCTGGCCCGTGTATGTCGGAGGAGAAAGGAGCTGAAGGCCAGGACCGTTTGGCTCGGCTGCCCGGAGAAATGTGAAGAGAAGTACCCCAAAAACGGCATCAAAAACCAGAAATACAACATCTTCACCTTCGTGCCTGGGGTACGTTTGATTCCAGAGAAACAACTAAGGCATATCCTGTGGGTCACATCACTCCATTTGCTCATGTAGCAGAATTCACATTTCATGCTCTGATCTTCGGAACAAACGTAGACGTTACGGCTGTTTTGAGTCAATGTTACATTTTTACTATTAGAGCGCTTTTACAGGTGCTCAAAGCGCTTTACTTACACATTACACATATCAGACATGTAAGAGTCATTACTGTGGACATTACCCACAGGAGCAAATACGGGTAAAGTGTCTTGCCCAAGGACACAACGGCCTGACGCAGTGGCGGCCGAGGCGGGATTCGAACTAGAGTTCACCAGCGCCCCTTGATCTGATGACCAACGCTCTAACCACTGCGCCAAAACCACCCTCGTGTTCCCACTGTTTTATAATCCCTACTTCATCCAGATGAAATATGTGTATTATGTAAAGCACAGTAGCCTGCACTGGGTCTAATTGTTAACTGTTCTATCATTAAGGCCAGGGTTTACACTGTAGGGGACATAAGAGATCCATCAGACTTACTTATTAAAAACCAAACGGTTCCATGATTAAGAGGAGCGCCTTTGGCCCAGGCAATAAAATGTCAACTGTCTGTTAGAGATGCGGATATTCTCGTCGATGGCGAACACAACGGCTCTGTTTTTCTCCCTCTGCGATGAATTATTAAATACACACAAATTGAGTTTAGCAGTGTGCATTTTTCCCTAAAGGTCAGGGGGTTCATTAACCGTCGAGAGCCGTGCATTGATCCCGTTGTCTCTGATAATCTGTGACGAGATGCAGGACTCTCATTATTGCGAACATTATTCAAAATGTGACCTTAGATGAATGGGATACCAAGATCCCTGTTGATGGATGGCCCATTAGCAAAGAGCCCTCAGTAAGTCACAGGTGGCACTTTGCTCCGCGTGATTTAAGAAAGTTCCTTCTTTATCCATTATTGTGGTGATCAGTCCTGTTTGTCTTGTGCTGTGTTTGTTCTGCAAAGCATAGGCACCAACAGACATCATACCAGAGGAGGAACGAGTACTCAGATCTTATACTTAAGTGAAGTAGCAATAACTAAATGTGAAAATACTCTGTTACAAGTCAAAGTCAAGGCTCCATCTTACTTGGGTAGAAATACAAAGAGTATTGGTATCAAACACACCTACATTCCGAAAGTAAAAGTGCTTGTGTAGTGTAAAAGCTCATTTCAGATCGATATGAATAAAATCAATGGTTTATGATTATGAATGTATCAGAATAAGAATCAGAAGTCCTGTATTTGTCCTTCATTGGTCATTCCTATGAAAGTTGCTCAGTGGATCATGAAGCCAAACATGGAGCGACTGTTGATTCAAATAAATTCTGGATCAACCGGGGTCTTGGGCCCATAGTGTCTCAGCTCAGTAAAATGAATGGAGGGAAAAAAAACTTAATTCTGCTTTTAGCGCATTTTACAACTTTAAGAACAAATGATTTTAATACAGGCTATTCACGTGTGTGTACTTGGTGGATAATTGACCTAAAAAATATTTTACGCTGATTTACAGATGTCTCTTGTCAATGGGTCTGACACTGTAGTTGTAGTACCAACGTTTGGCCACTACTAACATTTGCTTCAACGCTGGCGAACTTCCCCAGCTTGGTTTAGAACAGCTGCTAAATGTGGAGCTAACTTTTACTATTTGTTATTCTGCTGCTGTTAATTTTAACCTATAAGTCAATGATTATTTCATAATTCATTCATGTTTTGTATATCAGCTTTCAATCTGAATTCATAAAGTAACTAGTGATTCAAGCTTTCAGATAAATTGTGTAAAAAGTAGAATATTGGCTTAAAATTAAGTCAAAGTAGGATCAAATGAAAATACTCGGGTCCAATTATCAGGTACTTATATTTGACCTAAGTACTGCACACTACTGCTTTCTCAAAGGTACCATGCCAGGGGAAATGTTCACCCTGAATGCCATGTGTAACAGAAGTTCTCAGTGTCCCAGTTTCCATCAGGTTAATATAAAATTAACAGCATTAACATGTATCCTGTTCCCTCTTGGATCTGGTACAGTAACCCATCGGTTGCGGCGACATCCTCTTTGTCTTCGCTGGCAGCTGTCATGGTCTGTGACCCACCTCGCTGACAGGTTCCCTCACCTCTCTGAATCCTCTCCTCTGCTCTCAGGTTCTCTACCAGCAGTTCAAGTTCTTCCTCAATCTCTACTTCCTGGTGGTAGCCTGCTCCCAGTTTGTGCCATCCCTGAAAATTGGATACCTCTACACGTACTGGGCACCGCTGGTGAATGCACTTCAGATTGATCTCTGTCATTGATTTGTATGAAAAATGGGTTGGTCTCTCATAGAAATGCAATGGAAGCTAGTTGGAGAGTGTTTTTCTTTTACGGCCTACCCAACACCTGCCTTTTTAGTTTGCCTTTGAATTGAATTGAGTTATTAAGTGTTTTTATTAAACACAAAGTCATGTGTTTCTCTGTGTGTTGGTATTTTTTAAACATTATTTGTTGTGAAACACTTTTCATTTCTCACTGTTATCGTTAGTGTATGAAAAGAGCTCTATGCATTATAGGTTGAGTTTCAAGAAGGCCTTAGTGTAAATAATTGAATATTAAAATGATTAGTTTATTCAAGAATTTGTGAATTGTCAATTGATTTGATGGTAGACAATCATTTCACTTTTTGACACTTGGACACAGAAATGTATCTGCATTTATATGTATAGTTAGAATAATTGTTATTAACAAATATAAATTCAGATGAATCACCTACTTATGACTTTATAGTCATCTTTTTATCCCATTGAGACAGTTTTAAACTACATTTTTTTCCGTTTCAGCTTTCTGAACGATCTTGCTGACTTGAATCTGTTTTGCCCTACCTTCTGTGGCTCAGGGTTTTGTGTTAACCGTGACGATGGTGCGCGAGGCTGTGGACGAAATGCGGCGCTACCGACGGGACAAAGAGATGAACTCTCAACTGTATACCAAGCTCACAGTGCGAGGTTAGTGAGAGACATCCATCCACTCTCCTCCTCATGACTGCAACTGTTTGCTGACATTATGATAACGGATATTCTCTCCCCGTGCAATTAAAGAGACGGCACTCCACGGGATCTACACTTGTAACAGAAGTCATTCCTCTCGCTGTAATTGCATTGATTTTTCCTTCTCTCACTTTCTCAAGACCGTATGATCTAAGATCTGTCCCTTTGTTGAACGTGTGGTGAAATACCCCTGTGTGCTATCTGTGACCTGAGGCTGCAGCTCTCACACTCTCCATGTGCTCGTGTGCATGCACGCAGCTAGAAGAAGAAGGCTTTGCAGGCAATATAATTGAGAGTGACCCTATGTGCCATTGTTTTTGTCTATGCCTCTGACCAGAGATGCAAACAGAGGGGTATTACATTATCCTGCAGGAGGTAACCAACCTGTTAGAAAGTGAGACGGAAAAGTGGGTTGTGGTTTTAAGAGCCTGAAATCAATACCTTCAGTTTATTTCATAGTTATTCAAATACTCAGAGTATGTCTTCAAAAAGAAAGGTATCATTTGAGTGTTTTTTCTTCATTTCATTTGTCTTTCTTCTTAGGTAAAATTCCAGTTAAGAGCTCAGACATACAAGTTGGGGACATGATCATCGTTGAAAAGGTAAATCTCTACTGCTTCCTCGAGATATTTCTGCATGCACTGATTTTAAAGGGGCCTACTATGCTTTTGGGGTTTTCTTTTTGCTGTAGTGTGTTATGTACACTGAACAAAAATATAAATGCAGCACTTTTGTTTTTGCTCCCATTTTTCATTAGATGAACTCAAAGATCTACATTTTCTATTTACACAAAATAACCATTTCTCTCAAATATTGTTCACAAATCTGAAAAAATCTGTGATAGTGAGCACTTCTCCTTTGCCGAGATAATCCATCCCACCTCACAGGTGTGGCATATCAAGATGCTGATTAGACAGCATGATTATTGCACAGGTGTGCCTTAGGCTGGCCACAATAAAAGGCCACTCTGAAACGTGCAGTTTTGCTTTATTGGGGGGGTCTGGGGGGGTCCGAAAACCCTAGGGTTAAACCCTAACCCTAACATGTCACCCATCTCCTTGGCATAGAGTTGATCAGGTTGTTGATTGTGGAATGTTGGTCCACTCCTCTTCAATGGCTGTGCGAAGTTGCTGGATATTGGCAGGAACTGGAACACGCTGTCGTATACGCCGATCCAGAGCATCCCAAACATGCTCAATGGGTGACATGTTAGGGTTAGGGTTTAA